ATTTTTTTTAGACAATTTATAGGGCAATGGGAATTCAAATGAGTAATTTTAAATATTATGTTTGTATTTTTTCCATGTATAACTTAACCTATTTGTGGTATTTTCCAAAACCTTTATTTTTGAATATAAAAGTAAAAGGTTGTGTCATGAAAGGGCATCCGATGTAATGTAAAAGCAACACTGAATGAAGGAGTCTGTTAACATTTCGTTTGCAACAATGCCTCAAGCAAGAAAGGAACATTCTGCACCACTGGAACACATATGTTTATACGATATTTAATAATAATAATGCTAGTTTAAAGGAGATTGAAATAGCAGCAGTGGTAAATGAATCTGTACCATACAAGAAGTGCAAGATGTGACTCTTTATAATGCATGTTTCTAATCAGCTTTGCTCCTTTATGTGGGACAAATCTCTCCGTGTGTGAAGGTGAACGGGGGAGGGCCTATCACGGGGGCCGTCCCGCTCCGCTGTGCCCCGAGAGGAAATGTTTCTTTGGTGGGTGCGAACAGTAGTGAATCCAGGCCAGCTCTCTATCTCTCTCTGTGTGTGTGTGTGTGCGATTCTAGCCTCACCTTCATGTCTCAGGTGGGACAGGGGAAGATACCAGTCCTCAGCGGGCCACACACAGCCAGATGGAGGATAAATCAGTGAAGAAGTGGCCAAATCAGAAAATAAAGAAAGAGAGAACATTGGGGAGAGGAAAACAATTTGGTGGTGTTGTGGAGATGAGAGGCTGAAGTCCCTCTGCTCTGACTGGAGACGGTGAAAAAAGTTGTGTTGAAAGATGAAGCGAGTAATTACGTTTGTGGTACTTTCTTGGCTTTGCTTTGACCAATATTGTTTGACACTATTATTTTTTTTATCTGTATTGTTTAAGTATCTAAGAAGTATTCAAGTATATTATCTTGATTTTGCTTGCTTTAACTGTGAGCTGCAACACTACAATGTAAACACACCGGTTGTACAATATAGAAAACTAAAACAACTATAAATCCACGCAAAAGATAAAGTATAAAAAACTTAATTAAACATCACGTAATAAACATATATTGGGGAAACAGGGAGAGCTTTCGGTATCCCAAAAAAGGAACACAAAAAAGAATATGAGCAGAAGAAGGCAAAGGCATGAGCAACAAAACAAAAAACAGAACACAAATTGGCCATCCCCGACCACTGTAAAAGAGAGAACCACATTATGGGGACTGGGACGGAAGTAAATATCATTGCTGAGATAAATACGGAAAAGTTGCCCCCAAGACAATAAACCAGGACGAGGGGGCTTCATTTCTCTCACACACCTGGGATTCTGTCCTGAAGTTAGGAGTCAGGATGGCACTGTTGTCCTGCCCCTGAAGGTAGGAAGACGGCGCCAAAGACTGTGTAAAATATCAAAGGAACATCACCACTCTGAGAAAGACGAGCGGCCAGCAACAGAAACTGTCAGGTACGTAAAAAATATCAACTTTCCCAATAGTGGTCTGTAGTGGTGGTGGCGTAATGGCATGGACAGGTAAATGGTATGGACAATGAGCACATGGATTTTAGTTATATCTTGAATGTAGAGAGACACTGCGAAGAGATCTCGAAGCCCATTGTTGTGCCATTCATCCACAACCACCTCCAAAAACACAAAAACAGAACATCTCGGTGGCACCAGTGCAGTAACAGGGACTCTAATCAGCGATCTTGATCGGTGAGGAGGGGTGGATTGTGTCAGCAAAGAAGTGCTCACTGGTTTCAGACATACTTGAGATCAATATAAGAAAGAGACGAGTCTGAAGATTTAAATCATTAGGTTGAACACATGAAAAAAGGGAGCAAAAACAAATTTGCTGTATATATTACATAACACATGCCTTTATGGACTACAAAAACTAAATTGAAAGTGTACACAGTTTTTTGAATGAAATTGGGAGCTAAAATAACTGCCTAATGTATTTATTTTATTTAATATGAACATAACAACATCTTCTTGGTCTTGGATGCAATAGACCCTTTCTCTCACTCAAACTAATTGTAAAAGCTCACAGGAAGCAAGGTTATTCTGTTTCTCTTGTCTTACAGGGCTAACAGCAAATAAAACCAGGAAATTAACTTGTTTATTGGACCACCAAGTGCTACAAAAACACACATGTTCAAACATTTTCACACAATTTATTTGTTGAATAAATGAGTCATATTATAGTACATGCCGATCAACAGAACAGGTTTTCTTCACAATCATAAATGTCCAACTGAAGTCAAAACATCTCTCATGGATTACAAGGTTTTGTACATTTCATAGCCTTAAAAGCACCAGAAGTACATCACAAGTTTACTAAAGTAGAACTGAAGGTGAAACATTAACGGTCTAGATTAGGAGTAGGACCATGTTCAACAAGATTTTTCCAGCGTGAAACTCACAAATGTGCAGAGGAATAGCTTTGGAAGAGATTTACATGTACAAATAATAATAATAAAAAACAATATTGTGTGCAATCCGATTGGCATCAAGTATTGTTTCTTTCCCTGTACTGTACTGTATAAAAAAATCCCTTAAAAAGAACTTTTAGGGCACAAATATAATCTTTGAGTTGTTTTGTAAAGAAATACCTGTAGTCACCCCAAAAGTTTTTTTTCATAATAACAAAATGATGCACAATTCTGTTTTCACTCCACAGTGGTCAGATACTATGTTGTGGCTGTTCAGTAAATTCAAAATAAAATCATTTGTGGTTGTAACATGACAAAATCCTCAAAAGATAAAGCTGTATCACCACTATCGCAAGAGACTTTATTAAAAATGTATATAACATTCACCATGCAGTGAATAGGCTCAAACAGCAAACATGGCTCATGAATGCCAGGGCTTAAAACACATCAGGACAAAACATATACAAGTAAATCATGCAGCCAACAGCCGTACTGTTCACCCGCAATCATCTCACAGTTTTCAAGGCACGTTTTTCCACCATAAAAAAGTGCAGATCATTTATAATTTTTCTAAAAGTGCATATATTTAGATCATCTCAGGTGATGATCAAGCCTTCTTTTTCTGTGTTGAGAGAAGATCAGGGGCCGTATTCCTAAAGATTCTGAGAGTCCTCTCAGAGAGCTCTTATCTTAACCTAAAAACTCCTAGCTAGGAGTCTTAGCTTAAAAGTTATTCCAGAACACTCTTAGAGAACTCTGAGCAAGGAATTGACAACAACTTTTATCTTAGTGAGGAGGCGTGGCCGACCCCGTTGCTAGGTATGAGTCATCATTTCAGACGCTGTGATTGGTTGATCCTAAAAGTTAGAACAAACATATTTTTGATGATAATAGGCAAAATAAGGGCCCTAAAATGGACAAACTCAATCATGGAATCTAATCTTAGGAACACTGTGTTATTGTAAATAATAACCAAAAGCTATAAAGTCAGATATATCAATGGTACATAAATACTGTGAATAGTAAAGTTAGACTTATACACCATCATCAGAGCTTGCTCAGCACCAATTTATCACACATAATACGTATATATCATGAGCACTTATAATTTTATATATATATATATAATTTAAATATTACTCTATATATAATATACATGATAAAGAAAATTATTATTATAAATATTATATGGATAAATGATGATAATGATAACGTTAGGATTAGTAAAGGCTGTGATATGTATAGACTTATAAGGAATTAAGGAAACAATATTAATATAAACATATTATACATACACTGTACAAATCAAGTACAAGGGAGCTTAAAAGTCTTATCCTCTCCCACTCCTTTTTGAGCTGGATTGTTGTTAATAAAACAAAACTGTATATTTGTACTTCTATTCTGTTGTTGTTTTGTTTGTTTTGTCCTTTTTTTTCTTGTTTGCCATGGCTCAAAATAAAGTATTCATTCATTCGTACTGAATGTGTGACAATTTAGGACCACTTTTTCCTCTCTTTCAACTTTTACCATTTCTACTTACTTTTGTGTAACAAAGGTAAAATGGATGAGGTGTTATTGCTGACCAGCCAATGAGAAGCTGGTCACATGATTGACTTTTAAATATACCACAAACATGATTCCTGCTTGAATCTGTAGTGTTTCACTGATTCACTGTCATCCAGTGTATAGAATATTTCTCCTGTCTCCACCGTCCACCATTTTGTGCTCTTAGGGAACTTTTAAGTCGCTAAAAGTCCTCCTCTCAACTCTTAAGGGATCTCCCCTTAGGAGCACTCTTAAGAGCTAGGATTTTTTAGGAATAGCTTTTATCTTAACTAGGAGCTACTCCTCACTTTTAGGGGAAATTCTAAGAGTTGGTCAAGATTCTAAGAAAATTCTTAGAATTTGGCCACTAGGAGCAACTTTTAGCAGTAAGAATCTTTAGGAATACGGCCCCAGGTCTCAGAGACACAGGTGCAGCACATTAGAGAAGCACCGAATCACTTAGTCCTGACTTTGCCTTATTACCACAATCCACTTGGGCCTGTTAGAGTATTAGCACAGTCTTCATCTTTCCATTAGTGCCCATGGCTAAAACCTGCTTCACCTGAGCCACAGTTTAACAAATATATATTTTATGTCCGCAAAACTGATTTGAGTGCTTTCCTTTGCCGGGCTTTTAGGTTTATTTATGTGACTCACTGACCTTCCCAAATAAGAAATGTCTCAAGAGAGAAAACTATTTGGTTTGTCCTTCATGACAAAGGTAAGAAAAAAGAACAGGTTATTGGTTGAGAGCAGCTAAGTGTTTGTTGCTCTAAACCCCTTTTAAATATATTCAATGTAAGGGTTGGAGAAAGCACAAAGCACCAGATGGATTTAAGAATATTTTGCTAACTAAAAAATGGTTTTGCTTCATGAGAAAAACAAAGACTAAAACTAATAAAAACTAAGAAGATAATTAGTTTAACATTAATTTAAGACCACATTGAAATATGACATTAAACCACTCAATGATATAACTTATTTTTTCACACAAATAAGCAAAAAAAAACACATTATCCTCTTAAAAGTTACTTATTCCTCAGAGCTTTTTACACTGCTGTTCCGTCTGAGTCTCTTCAATGCCACGCGCAAACAGGTGGATCAACTGGCACTGGACACTGCAAAAAAATAAATAAATACACAAAGTACCGTGAGATATTTTTAATCTATATACAACTTTTCAAAGACGAGGATAGTGCAAATCATGCCTTCCCCAGACACACCCACAAACTAACAATATAAAAGCAATCTTAGCCACCTACTAGTAATGTTTTTTGAGACATTTAATTTCTATTAGTGGTATTCAAATGTAACTACGGTTCCCACAATGCACTGCAGTTCCACTATTGCTGGAACACAAGCAGCAGAGAAACACGACACACATGCGAGTGAGGAGAGCCTAGCAAGCTAAAGTAAAGCTAAAATCTCTCCAATCATGCGTGTGTGTGTGTGTGTGTGTGTGTGTGTGTGTGTGTGTGTGTGTATGTGATATATGTAATTTGAGGTGGGTCTATTGGACAGTATATGGAAAACTGTAAGTCACTAAATGCATGGATGTGAAAACTAGGGATAGAACTGGGAACTAGTTCGGTGGATGTCATTAAATAGTTCAATTGTTGTGGTTTAAAGGTTATGTACCCCAGCTTTAAATTATACCAAATACTATATTGTGTCCTGACCAACAGTGATGAAGGGCTAAGACCCCTGAAACATCGGGGTAAGCAAAAACAGTGAGAGCTTCAGAGACCCTTGCTCTAAGTATAAACTCTCGACTCGTTTCTCATCTTATTTCCACTTTCTTTCAGTTTCGCCTAAACTAAAAACCATTAATTACGGACACAGCACTCAGACGAGCTAGCTCACTGTGAGAGCGATTAGCACACGGAAGAGGCAATAAAGGGACAGACTCATGCTTTAATTAAAGGGGAGTAGCCTTTTAACATGGGGAGGCCGTTAAATTAGTAACATTACAGAGCCATGCATCAATGGCTAAGTACAATGGAGCATGAAATAAATGATGTGTCCAGCTGTGCTGTTGGAATCTATAGATATCGAGCGTATAGGGGAATACCCCATGGAAGGAAGGGAGCAGTCTTACATTCAATGGTAAAAACTAAAACATGTCAGTTTCTTGTATCTTTGTCTCAAGGTTTAGAGCAGGGGTCACTTTTAAAGCCAAGGGCTACTTTAAGATGGTCAAATGGCTCATTTCAGAGCCTAATTCATATTGTCGATTTGAAATTAATTGCACATTGTATGCAAAGGTCAACAAGTGAGAATTGCATACATGCCCTGAATTATGAATTGTGCCATACAAATAAACTTGCCTTGCCTTACCCTTTATAGAATGTGCCTTTAATGCTGCTTGTGTGCGGACACAGCTTTGGTGACTCCTGGTTTAGAACTAACGTTATTCTAACATCTGTTTTGTTTATTTTTGAAGTCTTGTAGAACTGGATATCCTTTAAGAAAGATTTATGCAAACGGACTGTACTTTTATAAACAAAGACCAGGACGTGCAGCTCATTTCCAAAATAGGTATTTACGTAACCAATAATGACATTATTACCTCACTTGAATGGCAGTCTGCGGGAGGATCTCGCCGTCGCAGGTCCAGCTGCTGAGGGCGGAGCCATAGTTACACGGAGAAGGGGTGGGGCAGACAGGCTCCAAGTTGCTGATGTCACTGACATCACCAACTGAGACCACTTCAGGGCGTCCAGGATGGAAGCGAAACTTCTTCACTCGATGAACTTCCACAAACAAGTGGTCAAACTGAGGAAAAATAAAACAATGACAAGTAAAGCATCAATAAAATTACTATATTGCAACTTACAGACATTACAAAAATACATTTGTATTGTAGATCTATATGTTGTCTGTAATATTTTATTAAGGAATGATGAGCTATAAAGAATTGTATGGTGAAAGACTTAAACTTTGCAGTTCAAGACCAACAAACTTGTCTTTGAACATTGTTTCCTCATCAAAAACATATCATTTACTTCAACTCAATCCATGCAAATAGAAATAAAAAATCCCAATTTGTTTTGTAAAGTTTTACATTATAAGAAAATATACACTTCATTAATCTCACATCGGATACATCTGGCATAAATAGAATCAATCAGGTTGTGCTAAAGATAAGAAATGTGCAAACATGTTAAAAAGTGAAAAAAAGTCTCTTTTGTGCAACACATATTATGTAATTATAGATTTACAATTGTAGGATTGCCTTTACATCCCACCATGATAGATGTTTGATAGCAGATTGTTTTTCCCAGCTTCTTTATCATCTTTTATATAGCACATTACCAGGACCGACCATTCCTAATGTACATATTATTAGTGGTAGGAGAAAATGGAGGAAACCTATGAAGACATGGGGAGAACATGCAAACTCCATACAGGAAAAACCCAGTACATCTTGCTGTGCAGCAGGAGCGCTTACAAAAGGTTTTTTTTTTTATAATCCAGATCCTTCTCTTTATCCGCTCAGATTTGTGACCAACTCAAAGCTTTGACACATGATTGTGTCCTCTTTGCGCAGAATGAAGCCTGCACCTTATCTTCTACAAGGCCGTGTTAGCGCTGCTGCCTCAATATCTGGCAGCAGGTCTCAGAACGTTTTTGTGTTGTCTTTTCCCAGAGTCAGGGCTGAACTGGGAAAAGGCTTTCAGTTTTGCAACACTAATCAAAACTTGGGCTAAAGAAAAATAATGTCTAGAGTTAATCCATAATTAAATTCTTAAATATGAAAAAATCCATAGCCTATATTCTCAATGTTGTGTTAGATGGCCTGAGTGGTCCTGGGTTCGATTCCATCTCAAGACGGGGCCTTTCTGTGTGGGATTTGCAGGTTCTCCCTGTGTCTGTGCAGGTGTCTCTTAACACTAAAAAACATGTACAATAGGTCTGGCATGCACTTCCTGTATGGGGTGAGAGGACAAATGGCAAACAATTAATAACAAAGAAAGATATAAGATCTGTTGTTTAAAAGATGACCTTAAGCAAATTCTAAACTACTTCTGAAAAAATATAAAAGTTCTGAGAAGATACAGGACCAAGGAGTTTGTATCGTGATTTGTAGCAACAGAGCGGGAATTTAACAACTTTTCACATTATTTACATGTTGTCAATGTGTCTGAAGCAATTGTTCAGTAGGTACCCAATGTGCTTTAATTTTAATAGCAAATACGGACCAATCCCTCAATCCCTCAACCAAACTCAAATGTTGACCTATTTTTTGAGTGAGAAGAGAGAATATCACAGACATCACACCTAACCATAACCCATTTAACATTTTGTTCACATTGTGGAGGAGATGGAAGACTTACAAAAGTAAATAAAAGGAGCTAAAAACTATCAAACCATGCCACTTCCTCTTCGCTACACTATTTATTCCTCAACCTGTCCACTGTCTATCACCCCTTTCATCCAAAAAACTCACTGACAACCATTTATTTCACATCAGAGCCACTTTATGAGCGTGCTCTTTGCATTCACGCGGGACGTCGTGCCTAAAAGGCTTTCTGACAAGGCCATGAATACGCTTAGAGCCGCCTCACTCCTGTTCCTCCTCGCTCGGGTGGACACTGAGGCTGATATTAAGTGAGCTGAGATGCAAAGTCACTCAGCCCTCATCACTCAAAGTACCATCTTCAGCTTGATATGTGCCAAGTAAAGCAGATCTCGCCCAGGGGTTTCCGAAAGTGAGGCATGAGTCCATTCGGTAGTGGTCGTAATAAATTGTTAGTTTTGCTTTTCGGCTTTTCCCTTCCCTGATTTTCCACCATCTTTCTGCTTGAGCAGCGTGGTAAGATGATCTCGGCTGCACTCACTGCTTGTTTTTGGTGAAGACTGATTTAGTGAATGTTAATCTCCCTAAAGACACGCTCCACAAGTCACTGAGCGGCCAATTTTTTCCACTCCAACAGCGTCTTCAATTCCTCAATTTCCTTCTGCTAAATGGTTAATTTTTCATTGAGCTTGTTCCAGTTCGGTAGTCATGCAGGATTGGGTTTGCTTTTTTATTGCATGTCAGGTTGTCTTGCATTCCAGAATCTTTAGTTTTACAGCGGTACACGGATTTGATTAAAGCAGAGGCTGTCATGAACAAAATGAGTATATTCGAGATTGAACGCATGACCCGAAATAACCTGCTCATGAAAACAAACAAAAGATAGCAGAAATGTTCCTCTTTCTCTAAGTAGTTCTGACAAACTATTTTTCCACAAGAGTGAATTCCAGCTTTATCCACAAATGTGTAGCTATAGACAAGAGAATAAGAAAAGAAAACACCAAAGAGGGTCAAAACTGATGTTATAATATATTGTACAAAAGAAAAACAGATTTGACTCATCTAGCACAAAAAGGAACCAAAACATTACTTCTGTTTTCTCATAATGTAGAGCGCTGCTGTCAGTGTGAGTTGCCGAGAAGCACCTCACACTGACTTTGACTATTGCCACAGACATAGCGTTGGCACCACCAAAATAAATGCCATCACAGCTTCACTAGATCACCGAAAGACACGGAATATTGACAAAAACTATAGTTGTATTATAGTATGTAATGTAGACAGCCATCCATCAATTTTCAACCCCTTAGTCCATTTCTGGGTCGGGGGGGTGGCAGTCAGAGCTGCACCCAGTACACTTAGCACCAGCCCCTCACTGATCCTCCTGCAGGTGGTGAGTCCACAGGAGCTAAGATCTTCCAGCGGGGGCTTCGGGCAAACTGGGGTTAAGTGTCTTGCCCAAGGACACAACGACAGCAGTCATCAGTGGGAGTCGTGAAGTAGGTCTCGTGGTGGGCTAGAACCCACGACCTTCAGGCTCAAAGGCCAATATTCTACCAACTGAGCCACTGTAGACAGCCAGTGAAGATGAAATTACTGCTTTGTAAAGTGATTTGTAAAATAAACACTGCAAAAACTAAGAAATGGAGTAAATTATTTTCTAAAGTCATTATTTTTTCCTGATTTGTATAAAAAAAAATTAATGGCCTGACAAAAGACCACAGTTTGGATATTTTACAGTAGCAAGCAACCATTCTTATTTCAAAGGCAGTAGCAATATCTCTGCCTTTGTTTTAAACACTGACAGCATTTACTTAAATCAAGATTGAATCTATTTCTCACAATTTTTACTTACATCTTGTCGTTTTTTTGCAGTGAATAAAATGCCCCGAAGGCGCACCTTGAGGAAATGATTACAAAATCAGCAGACCCCCAGTGTTGGCAGTGTGATCCTACGGGACTATTACACCACTTAAGCCTTTTCTGCAATTCATTACTACAACCATTACACACCTCCTCTCAAGACCCAACCACAGGTTATTTATGAAAGGTAGGAACGCACTGGGGCTGGGCATCTGCACCAAAGTGAACCGGAGCTGGTGAAATGAGTGGAGTCAGCAGTTGGGGATGCTAGCACAGCAGTGGGCTAACTCCTGCCTTCTGCTCTCCTCTGCGCACAGAGACACACTCTATTTATCCAGGCGCAGGTTGAACAGCTCCCGGGGAGCCGCATTAGGTTCAGAGAGAACCAAGACAAGCTGGGGCTCAGATATTGCCTTATGAGCAGAAATGAATAACTAACATTGAATATTGTTTGTTTTTTCAACAGTCCTTCTTTTTCTTTTTTACGGTGGACATTTTTTATGTTGTACGTTATTACAATAATTCAACATATTACTTTGTATGCTGTGAAATATAAGTAGAAATACAAATATAACAATACTGCCTTAAAATAATAATCTTTTGAATATGACTGAAATTCACTTGAACCGGGGGTACCTCACTTTCAAACCACACAGAATAGAACTATGTAAAATCCATTTCTGGCTTTGGTTTCTTCATGAGTGTTCAAATGCACATATTCTTGGCCTCTGTCACATTAGATCATCTTTTTCAGACAGAAAAGTGCCAACAACACATTTTCTAATGCGATAAAGATAGTATGTAGTGGTGTGATTTGTTTTCTTCACATTTTATTTCCACAAGATACTATTGGAACAAATCATATTAATTTTTAGAGAAATAAAAGTAATATAACAAAAAGGAACTGATTACATAAGGAAAATAAAAGGCTGCTTTGACAAACCCGTGTTCCACATCCAATCCAATATCCACTGAAATATCTTTTTTTTTTTTTTTTAACAAACTAAAAATTTAAATATATTCCCGGCCTTTGTAGATTAAACAGGCATAACACCCACCTGGTCGTCCTTGTTGGTGTGCCGGAGCAGATGCTTGAAGAAGTCCACCCTGGAGCACTCATGGACCAGGATGAGGTCTACAGTCCCATCCGCCAGATGTGCAGAGGGGGAGAGGCCTTTAGGACAACGAGGACAGGCACAACTCATACAGGCCGCGTTTATGGCGATGAACTTCCCATCAAAAACTGTCCAACCATCTTGGCAGTCTGAAGCAAGAGATGTCACTTGTTACTAAAAAAGTTAAGCAAAAACCTAGAGCAAGAAACCCCAAATTATATTTTCCATACGTTTAGTTTAAAGCAAGGGTGCAGAGGGTACGAGTGGTAGAAGGCCTATCAAACAGGTGCTCTTCAAAGCAGATTTAGGATGTCGAAGAGAGAAAAAGAAGTCTGAGGCACTCTGTTGAAGTCAACAACAATAAAAGATTTATTCCCTGACAAAGACCACTTTTGGTCGAAATGCGTAGGCAGTCCATTTTAATAAAGGACTTTTATTTTTTCACTTCAACAGAGTGCCTCAGACTTCTTTTTCTCTCTTCGACATGCTATATTTTCTATACATTTGATATGAAACAGATAAAAGAAAGAGCCCTGAAACATTATAAGAATACAAAAATCTAGAAAAAAAAGGAAAAGAAAATATGCAAGAACAATTTAGACATTTGTGGGAGGCCAGGTCGCTCTATAGAAAATGTCTCCAGTATTCAAGAGCTCACTCTTTGGCAGACTCCGCAGTGATGCCTTCAGGCTGCTGCTGCTCTGGGTGCCCAGGTGACACAGTGCCAGTGAACTGTTTGTGAGAGCTCACTTCCACACCTGTGAGGCTGAAACGACATCTAACCTTTCGCTTCCAGAAGCGTCTGGAGGAGTCCGAGAACACTAGGAATGAGCTCATGTCGCTGTATGTCTGCTGTGAGAAAGCACTGGGCGGACACTCTACCATCTATACATCTGCTTGGACTGACTGTATTCCCTGTAATGCATTGTCTTTTAAAAAAATCCTATTTATTTTTTTTGGACCAATTAAATTCGAGTCTGAAATAAAAAATAACAATAATCATATAATTATTTTTTCTTTCAACATTGAAGCCAAAACACAATAAGTAAGAGTTAAATAAAAATGAAACCAATGGTCTATCAGTCTACAATTTCATCTCATTTTTAAATCAATTGTATTTATTTCCTGAGACTTGAGCAATTGTAACCATTATCAGATCATTATTTTCCCAGTCTTTGGACTACAAAAATAGTATCATTAAGTTAGTGCTGAAATATAAGTGAGTCTTAAGTTTATTCTAAAATAAGTCCAGGGTCGGGGGAACATTTAATATAATTAGGGCAAGTGCAATAATTGAACGAATTATAGAAACATTCAAAAGTGGAAAAAATAAATATGAGCTTTCAACCAACTATCCACTAAGAAAACTACTTTTACACTTTTTCATTTATATCGCTGCTTTTTTATGTAAAATACTACTGAAAAGAAATTGTGTTCTTCTATATAAGACAATTGTAAGATAGCAATGTGAAAGAACCAAATAACTCTACTGCAAAGACGAGATGAACCTTCCTGATCCAAAAATACTATTATTCTAAAGCCCTTTTTTGAACTACTTCAATTTACCCTTACCTCTTTTAATATATAACACACTTTATTACACAAGAAGACGACATAACACAAGAAGACAACATAACGCACGCTGTCTTCAGGAACACGACAGACTCTTTAACAAAGTACTTCTAAGTCCCTCAACAGATTTGTTCTTGGAAGGACTGCAAAATTTACCAAATGTGGCAGGAAACACAAACAATGCTCCAAGTATGCCGAGCCGCCCCATTATCAAATTGACTCTTTCTGCTGTACAAGATGCCAAAATACTATTTACTTTTGTTTATATAATTATCTGGCACCTCTTTCATCTTCAGTCTCCATCTTACACTGGCAGAATCTCCACAACAGACTCTGAGAGATCTACTCTATTTACAAATATAACCACATTTTAATTTGATTGTGTACATTGGGTTTAAACCGTGCCCATTTTAGACACACAATTGCTTATGTAAGTGTTTTGCTGTCACAGAAAAAGCCAATACAGCCATTGCAGTATCATTATGCGTTTTATAACTTTACAGCATCTAGAAACCTGCAGGATAGGCCACAATAATTACTACATCGAATAATTATTCAATAACTGATGAATACAAATTGTAGCAGCCAAAATTTGCCCTGTGCAAGGTCAAAGGTGGGTCTCATCAAAAAATGTAAAATAACTGTTTTCCAAAATTGATTATTAGCATATATAGACATTGAAATACACAGATCTCACACGTTAAGAAGGTCACAAGATGTCTGCCACTGCACTACATCACCTGCATGTAATTACTGCTCCACTTTGATAGGGCATACACCACAGTGGCAGGGGGCAGAAAAATGACAGATACCAAAATGGCTCCAAACATTTTTTGAATTTGGCCTCCATATCTATTGTTGTTAAATCCCATTTTCTTGCATTTGTACAGGACATCCTTAACCTTTCCCCTCCTGATTTGAAGAGAAGAAAGGGGTGGGCTTATGTGGGCTGGTATAGCTGTCGGCCATTGGTTTGGGCAGTATATATAAGGTTAAGGTAAAGTTAGGTTACTGTATGCTTCATTTCGGGAGGTCAGTTTGTTTGTGTCAAGTTCTTGTTAAGTTAACATTTGCTTTCTGTAAAATTCTATTCTTTTAATGGTCTGTTTGTGTTTATGGCCAAAAAACAATTTTTTGGAAGATTTGAGCCTTTGTTTTGGTTCTTTACTGCTTGGTGCCTAACAGTGCTTGAATCAGAGGCATGAAACAAACATGAAAAAAATACATATTACACATTTTTGGCCATCAAGAAGTCATCCCTATGCGACCACTGGATGGATAGGTGGAATTGATTTTCTCCATACATTTTTAGTGTGATGTCATTGTGGTACAGTGTCATCATACTATTACAGTTTTACAGTATTAGACGGGCAGAGTTGCATGTTTGTGCCAGAAGTCCCTCAAATGAATGGCTTGTGCTCAGTAGCTCATGGGACTTCACGGAGACCAGGAGATTAGCAGAACTCGCCTATATTTGGGCATCGTCTGGTCCTCCCGGTTCTGTGCAGTGGACGAGCTCCCATGAGGCCTTGCACCAAATACACGTGTGTGGCTTTCATGCACGTGCACAGAGGGGCTCGGCCACGCTTTGACCAATCAGAGCTGATCAGAGCAGCGGTAGAGCGGGAGTTAGAGAGGGAAGGAAACGAGCAGAGTTTGTGGCAGTAAAGTGTGGATTAGAAAACAGAAGGATTTAAGAAGAAAAAAAGTTCAGGATGACAAGGGACACTAAAATCTCCACAAAATCTGATCTTTATGAAAGCTGTAAGCTCTCTGTCAGCTGAGGTCATGCTGTTTTTATTTACATTAAGATCTATGGGACTTTTTTCTGGGCAGCCCACGTGAATTTAGTCTGCAGTACCACGGGCGCCCCCTGTGCCCGTGGGTGGGACAGCTATAAGCTAGTAATACCCTATCCAGTTATTATAGATCCATGGGATGGATCTAAGTGGCACGCTCTCTGCCAAAAAAAAATTCCAAGTGGTAACTTTTGTTTGTTACTTACGTGGCAATAAAAAATATTCTGAGTGTACATTACAAACTTATTGAATTTAGGTGACCTAAAAAGTACTTGAGATGCTGTTTTGACATAGTTGCCCAGTTTTTTAAAGCATTGATTACTAGATTGTTGCAAATTATTATATTTATTTATATGTTGTTAATTTTTCTCGTGTAGGTAAAACGCATATGAGATGAGGAGAACCCTACCCTGATGGACAATCTGTTGTCTAGGCACAATGATGTAAAAAATAGATGAAGCGATGATATAGGGAAGTAAGGGAGGTCCCTGCCATGGCGGCAGCTCCTCAGCCAACACCAGCCCGCAGGCGGCCGGCCTTGCTAGACGAGCTGCAGCGCCACAGCTAGACCAGCTGCAGCGCCCACAGCCCTAGACCAGCGCTAGGGCCGCCGGCGCCACAGCTTCGACCGCCGCCGGCGCGCCGCACCAGCCTAGACCAGCGCAGGCGCGCGCGCCAGCCCTAGACCAGCCGCCAGGGCCGACATGGAATGGGACTTGAATTAGACGAGATGTTATCAACAATCTTCTTGAAAGAAAAGACAGAGAGCGTTGGAGCTGATACGTAGGATGAAATGACTTTCTGAGTGGTGATCTAAACAGTGAGTATTACACGGGGTTCAAATTTGATGTTCCAGGGGACACTTCTAACATACTAATCCAGATCGCTCAAAGGTGAGAATGAAGAAGTCTACCCTTCAGCTTGTCTATTGACTTTAATGGCGCTCAGATGGACTTCAATACAGACGCAAGCCCATCTGTTTAGAGTACATAGGACAACAGTCGCCGATTGCTTTACCATACCTTGGTGTGATGTGACGACAGCTGTGTCCATTGGTGCATGGCAAGTGGGAATGCTTCTTGACCAGTATGCACACGTGTGGAGTCATTGGGGAAAATGTGGTGCCATGTGGGATGCTTCGAGGTGTTCATCGAGGAAACCTTCCAATGTGACTAGCAAGGGCACAGGACTTTTTCTCAATACACTAACACGCATATACACTATGAAATACCTAATGAGATAGCGCAGGGTGTAATTTCCTTCATATGAATGGTGGGGGTGGGCGCACAAGCGACCAAGCATATAACCCGAGCAAGTGGTTTCCTGAACAAGCTTGTTACAGGTGGACATTGTGCTGGCAGATGAGGCTATAATATAGCGAAACATGTGGGATTGATTTGTGTGCTGAAGTGAAAAATTACTACATTCACCAGGGGTGTGCTCAGCTTGAGGCGAAGATGTGAGGGGAGACTAGGGCATAGCACATCTCAGAATTCACGTGGAGAGGAGTGCTCGGGTGTGCGCAACAAATTCAAATTCTTACATCACCCTCTCTACACTCGCTCTGGTGCACATCTAGCTTGTCAATGTGAGGGTGAAAACCTATGACTTTGGATATGATTGTACATTAGGTGTTTATGTGTGTGTCTCACGTTTGCTAGTGCATTCAACGAACATGATGCAAAAAGTGTTGTTTGCGTACTTATTCTTTACTTGTTT